ATGGAATTAAGTAGGGTAGTGAGATTACACAGATTTTATACCGACTTCAAAAAAAGGAGGTTCACTATTTAATGTATTTATGTATGTATGTATGTATATTTGTGCGCGATTATCTCGCAATTGGTCGACCCGATTTTGATGCAATGTTCAGAAAAGCGTTTAGTATAAATGATTAAACGACTTCACAAAAAGAGGGGTTGAGTCTGATTTTTACCTAAGCTCATTTTATAAAGGAATCATTTGATTACGTAATCGAAACATATTTATAGTAGAGTGTATCTTTACAAAGGTCATTATAGGTTTAAACAGTAAGTAAGTCAAGGTCAAATCATTTATTCTAATTATTGTAGGTTTAATCTTTATTTATTCTTATTTTTTTGTTAATCTCACATGTTTACATTTGTTTATGGCATAAGCCGGTAAACGAGCGGACGGATCACCTGATGGTAAGCAATCGGCATCGCTCATGGACACCTGGAACACCAGAGGCGTTACAAGTGCGTTTTGGAGATTAGGAGTTTGAGGATCGTTAGGGATTCAGGAATTGGGGAGATTGGGGAAGGGAGGGTAATTGAGCCCCCGGTCACACGACGAAACACAGCGCAAGCGTCGGTTTTCTGTGAGGCCGTACAAAATTATGGTTTACCTAATTGAAATAATTGCTTTTGAGTTTGTGTTTATGGAAAAGAACGAGCATCAAACTCCATGGGTTACTGTTTTTACTTATCTACACAAGTATCTACCGCCCACTTAAATATCTCCTGCATTTTCTTGACAATCCAAGCACCTCTAAAGCCTCTTCTCACACGGATAAGGTTTGAGCATTAATCACCACGCTTGCTCAATGCAGGTTGGCGATTACAAACTTATATTTAGAAATTATTAGCCCAGGTTTCCTCACGATGTTTTCCTTCACCGTTTGTCAGTGGTGTCTAGATAATCTTAGAAAGTACATATACATATCTCGGAAAAGGTCACATCGGTACTTGCCGTTGGTAGGTTTGCAACCCGCACCCTCATGCATGAGAAGCGGGCGTCTTGAACCTCCGGGCCACCACAACAAAACCACACCACGATATAAGTAGTAATGTATCTCATTCATATTTCATCGACCGCCCGAATTAACTTTGCACAGGCGCTCCTCTTCGGCTAAGTACATTTCAAGCGCTCAAGAAATATAAAACGTTAAAAGTGATTTCAACAATCACTTCACTTTAAAGGCGGAATGTCTAATCATGAGTACTGAGATGATCCTTCAAATATTTTACATTTTCTTTGAAATAATGAAAACATGAAAGACGTCCTTTCAAAGTTAGGAAGTATTTTGAAATGCGTTGTAGATTCTATAAAATTTTCAAAGGATTATAATTACAAAACAAGTATACACTTTTACACATAACATAACATCACGCCTTTTATTCCTAAAGGGGTAGGCAGAGGTGCACATTACGATTCTTAATGCCACTGTACAATGTAACACCCACTTCTTACTATTACTTTTTACTATATTGTCATAAACTGGGCACAAAACTAATACAATTAATACTTTTAAGTGTGGGAGAGCCATGCTTCGGCACGAATAGGCCGGCTCGACCGGAGTGATACCACGGCCTCACAGAAAACCAACGTGAAACAAAGCTTGTGTTGTGTTTCGTCATGTGAGTGAGGTTACCGGAGGCCCAATTACCTCCCTCCCTAGTCTCCTAAATCCCTGAATCTCCCACAATCCTCAAATTCCCAATTCCCAAAAGCCCGGTAACGCACTTGTAATGCCTTGGTGTTTCGGGTGTCCATGGGCGGCGCCGATTGCTTACCATCAGGTGATCCGTCTGCTCGTTTACCGGCTTATGCTATAAAAAAAAAGTTTACCCAACCCGGGAAACAAACCCTCGATCTAATCGAACTCGGCCAACGAGTCAGTATTTAATATACACAGTTTTTAATAAACACTTTATTCCTTGTTAATAAAATGCTAAACTATTTTCCAAAGGAATCCGTTTTCTTAGCAGTCAGGGTTATGCCAAATAAGATTAAATTCTTGTACATTTTCAATACAAGTCAAATACGATTCTCCCGCTTCGCCTCGACACCGTGTCGCGATCAATTCGTTCAGACGGCGGAGAAAAAGTTCCGATCTATAACATTAGTTAAGATCCCGAGTTACAGTAATAAAGTTTCAAGGTCACTTCGGATGCTTTTCCCTTTTTCATCCGAACTTAGAGTGCTGTTCCACTGGAGTGAGAAGGGTTTTATTAAATATGATTGTTGAAGAAAATTGTGGAAGACAATACGGCTTCACGCTACATGGTCTTAAAGATTTTCTTATTTAGATATGCTACACTGTCAAAGTCAAAGTCAAAGTATTTATTTCAATTAAACCATAATTTGGTACTTTTGAAACGTCAACAAATACAAAATAAATAATAGTATGTCAAGCAGTCCGTCAATGAAGCTAGGTGAAGCTAGGTGCTCATTCCAAGATGTAGATTCGAATGGAGAAGAACGAGCAAGAAACTCCGTTCGTTACTCTTTTTAAAAAAAGAATTTTCTATAATGTCTCTGATACGTATTCCAATACTGTACGTATATGTGAGAACAATGCAAAGACACGCTTGACGCTTTACACACATTACAAAACTTATTAAAATAAAAAAAAAACAAAACAAACATAAAAAAATATCTTTTGTAAAACATGGTGGTCACATATGCATACTGACAATCTATAAAAATAGTGCTAGTGAACAATTTCTTTTTTTCTTTATTTCAATAAAGCAAGTAATGTTCGATGCCATAAGGAAACTAGATTCTACATTAGAATGAAAGTATTAAATTACGTACTGTTGGAACCTGAGTAACTACTGACTACATTTGAATATCTTCCAATCCAGCATGTCCTAGAACAATAAGTGTTGTTTTTGAAAGAGTACGTTAGTTTTTTTATAGATATCACAGTTTTTTCAGTCATAACTTCGTTTCGTAATAGTTTTGATTCGTTTTATCTTAAAGCTAATCCCTCGCTTAAAGCAACTCTAGTTGATCGTCTCTTCAATTATAATGTATTAACTCGTCGAGTACCGGTTTTACAGACACAATTTAAGAACAATAGGTCGCGGTCACCGGTGACCGCTTGGTATTTGACAGTTTAATGGTTCTCTCAAGTCTCTACACAATATAATTTATTTAAGTTCTGAGTGAAATGAATAGAGAAAACATAGAATTAAGTACACGGACTGCAGCGGGACGACCATGGCTGACAAAAAAAAGAAAATTCACGTAAAGCTACTTTTCAACCAGTTAACCTTATTTAAAACTTATACACATTATTTACTCCGCTTACTAGACTGCCAGTCACAGTTAAAACCAGGATGCCAGCATAATCGAGGAGTTACTTGAAACGTCTCATAAACTCGCTTGCAATAATTACAAGAAGAGGCAAGAGTACCTATCTCTAGAGTAATAAACTGTGTTAAACAAAACTCGTAGCTAGTGGAGACCACACCTTTATAGAGTTAAAGTTGTTAGTAGACTGGAAGCTTGAACACTTAGCTGTAGATAGATAGTGATAAACAAGAAGAGACATGGCCGCCGGACGCTGTTACCGGAGTGTGGCCACTTGTGCGCTAATAGCTGAGTACACAATGGATGGTCAGTTCGTCACTTACTTTCATAAAGATTATGATATGATACGAGTAATTTAACAGCTAAGGCTAGCTTCTACTATCTCTGTTGCCCTGGTAATTTATTAATTGATTTCTGCATCATCATCATTAACTGCCTGTTCCTGGTGGACATAGGCCTCTCTACGCATCCAACCACCACCAGCCACTTTGCGGATATCGTCACAATACATGCATACAGTAGCTAAATGTTTTTTTATCTATTTCCCATGTAATAGGTAAGTGTTTCATAAAATTAAGAATATAATAAAATATGTCTACAAAACAAATTGGACACAATCAAAATCTATGTTATTCTATACTAACATTAATCTTTGAATCAATACTCCCTAATCGCCGCGTCGCGGGTCGCGGAATGATGCTCATGAATATGAACCTCTAGAATGGCTTGAAACTAGTTAATTTTCTCGTCAAATAGTTGTGTAAATAAGCCGAAAAGAGAATCATCAAAACTCCCAAATCTCAGAACGATCTAACCCTGAAAAGTAGACGTCAATAATTCGTCACACTGGAACAATTCTATCAAATTCCCTGCAAAAACAATTACCAATTGTCTCCGAATTTCTGACGTCGTCATTGTTCCTATTAAATTCCCTTATAGAAGTCAATTGCGCTGACTCACGTGGAAAATGGCCGTCGGGTTGTTAATGAAAGGCTAATGACCGGGGAACCATTGTCCTAAGAATGATTTGCACATTCTCGCAACGAAATTTTGGAATTCTCGTCTTCTAAATCTGTGCAAGGAATGTGGGCAGTTATTAATTGAAACTGTTTTAAACTGTCAAACACCAACAAACTGTCGGTCACCGGTGACCGCAACCTATTGTTCTTTAATTGTGTCTATAGATACGGTACTCGACGAGTTAAGTAAAAGAATTTTGTCTGTGTACAGAATATATTATATAGGAAAATTATTTTCTTAAACCTAATAGTGATGAAAAATTAAAGGGCACTATAGAAAGTAATACCTTTTAAAAGTAAAAGTCTCATTGATTGATTGACACTGGTTTTATAAACAAATCAGTAACTTTGTTTTTAATGAAGATAATCTTGATATTAAAAAGTAATGAACCCAATTATGTTAAACTTTCCTTGTATTTCCCAGTGGCATAGTTACGCAATCTTACAAAATTGCGACCTTAGTAGGAGGTTCCAAAGATCAAAGCAAAATTTCAGAATTCTTTAAAATCCTATTGTAACCCGGCTTCCTTTCGGCGGGTATAAATAATATTTTCTCTTGTACAACGACTTCCTGATACCAGGACTGCATAAAAGCGTGGAGTAGTTAGCATACAAACGAGTGTAATCTGTGTTTTGTTGCAGGAACCGCATAGAGAGAACCGCGTCCAAACGATGGCGGGGCACCGTGCGGCGTATTGTGTCAGCTGCCGTTTGTAAGTATAGTATTTATGCATAACAAAATAAAATTAAAAAAATCATGCAAAATATTAAATCTCTAATGTATATTAGATATTTTAAACTTTAAACTACCAGTGCCCGCGACTTCGTTCGCGTGGAATAGTAATTTATTGCGCTTACCCCGTAGGTGATAGCATAATAATATGTAGCCTATATGTTGACCCCACCTGTTAGTGATAATCATACAAAATTTGAAGTAAACCCAGGCAGTACTTTTTGAGATCATCCCGGACATACATACAGACAAACAGACAAAAATTCTAAAAACCGTATTTTTGGCTTCAGTATCTACTATAGTATACACTATATCCAAGAATTCTTAAAAAAAATATTTAATGTACAGTTTTGACTTTCTACGACTTTATTATATGTATACTAGCGCTGCCGGCCTGATTTGTGAAGCTAAACCATCCAGGGCGCCACACAAACGCAAACAGAAAAAATCATTTAAATCAGTAAAGCCGTTTAGGAGAAGTTCAATGACATACACACGTACAGCAGAATAATATATAGAGGTATATAAAGACTAGCGGACCCAACAGAAGTTGTCCTGCATATCCACTAGACTAGAATGTATAAACAAAAATTCATTGAAATTAGTTCAGCTGGTTAGGATAAATAACCTTAACGTCGACTGCAGCGCCATATCGGGCTGATTTGTGAATCTAAACCATTCCTAGATCCCCTTGAACACACACAAAAAATTTCATCAAAATTGGTCCAGTCGTTTGAGAGAAGTTCAGTGACATACACAGTCACAGAAGAATTATATATATAAGAGATAGATATAGATATAGTTTTACAGAAGAACATGAACGGTGACAAAACACCAAAGACTACTTATACCAGCAACACAAAATTAACTTTACTGTAATTAGCTGACTACCGCTAATTTTTATAAGAACTGCCTCGTTGGCCGAGTGGAGTAGCACGAAGTCTGGAATTATGCCCGGTATATGGCAATAAGCTCACCCCCTATTACATGGGACTCATAACATAAATAGTGAAAAGTGGGTGTTACATTGTACAGTGGTATAATGTGCACCTCTGTCTACCCCTTCGGGGATAAAAGGCGTGAGATTATGTTATGTAAGGGCTGATTTTTCCAACGCCAGATAAACTTCAACTGAAGAATAACTTTGAATATTTGACAATTCTTCCATACTAAAAACTGTCAAATGGCAATTTTATTCTACAGTTAAGATAACTGATGATTGAAAAATCGGCCCTTCATAAATTAAATTAATATTTCTTACTTAAAGATAAACAGAAATCCCAGTAGACTATTTTCGTTAACCAACAACTTTTGAGGTTAACTCAAACGGAAAATAATACCAGGCACACAGACAGTAACAAGAGCATACGCTATGCAAAATTCAATTAGTGTAGCCACGTCTTACTAATGTGGTTTGTATGCCTTGTCCATGTGTAGGTAGTCTTAATATTCAATTTACTTTAAACGAAGCATGTCTCTTTTATGTGAATGGAATTATGTACGTGCTACGAGATCATAATTCTCGTAGCCGTGCTACGGCGTAGCAATATTCCACTTTTTTTTAAACTAACAGCGAGGTCTGATGAAGAAGACAAGTGCTATTTGTGAATCAAAGAATCAATTTTTGTGTTTTTACATGGATCTATTGCTTTGACAATCACAACTCGGAATTCTGCCTCGTTGGCCGAGTGGTCGCAAGGGCAAGGGGTCTCAGGTTCGATTCCCGGATCGGGCAAAGCACTACTCAGTGATAGCACGGAGTCTGGAATTGTGCCCGGTATATGGCAATAGTCTCACCCCCTACTACATGGAACTCATAACATAAATAGTGAAAAGTGAGTATTACATTGTGCAGTTTCATTAAGCGCCGTAATGTACACCTCTGCCTACCCCTTCGAGGATAAAATGTTATGCGTGTGTTATGTTCAATAAGATAATGGGTCTGTGGACGGGGAGCAAGGGTAGTTCGCCGCCTGACCAGACCTAGACGCATCGCAGCGCGTCCATTAGACCACCACAGATGAGGCCCAGTATGGCCGCGGAAGGCCTAACGGGTTGGCGGTGGGCTCGCTGCCATCGCAGCGGTAAGTCCCCTCTTTGAGGAGTGGCTTGAGAGACGCTACGGCGTCCTCACCTACCGCCTGACGCAGGTCCTCACCGGACATGGAAGTTTCGGGAGGTACCTGTGTCTGATGGGGCGGGAGGAAACGCCCGGGTGTTATCACTGCGAGGACCGCCCTGAGGCCACGGTGGAACATACTGTAGCGGAATGCCCTGCGTGGGCTGAGCACCGCCGTGCCCTCAGGGAAGTGATCGGCGATGGCGACCTCTCGCGTCCGGGCCTAGTGCGGGCCATGATACGGAGCGAGGGGGACTGGGATGCCGTCTCCTCCTTTTGCGAAGCAGTCATGCTAGCTAAGGAGGAGGCGGGACACGTGAGGCAGCGAAGCGCTGCCTCCTCGCAACCCAGCCATCGCGAAGGACACACCGGGCGTCGGGGATCGCGAGACGATCTCCGGCCACCGTAAGCGCGGGTCTGCGGACGGCGAGCATGGGTGGCTCCCCGTCCGATCAGAAACAGACCCGAGTGTACGGCGCATCGCGTTCCGCGCGCGCCTCAAAGAGCCATCAGACCACCACAGATGGGGCCCAATAGGGCCGATGCCGATTCGGAGTCGCGGAGAACCTAACGGGTAACCGGGGATCTGGCTCGACGTGCAGGAGAAGGAACGGGGTGGTTTTTAGTCAGTAAGAGTCTGACACTCCCTTCCGCCTCACCCATGCGGGAGAAGTCATTCGATGATTTTCTCCCATTAAAAAAAAAAAAAAAACGGGTTGGCGGGGCTCCGGCTCGAAGAGCAGGAGTAGGAACGGGGTGGTAATTAGATGATGTTCCCCACTGAAAACAAAAATAATATCACAAGATAATCGGACGGCATAATGAAACATTTCGTAAGAATAAACATAATAATTACATATTACAAAAATACTTTTTAAACATTACAAATCCCATAATATATTAATAACAAACTAGTGTTCAATGTTACTAACAGTTAGCTAATGAATAATTCGGATCACGTCGCGGTCATCTTGGCAGATCGGTAATCGGGAACATTAGAACCATCTTTGTATAAGCAGCTTCGTGACTTGAAAGCAATTTGAAGGGACTTTACGAGCGCAAATTGTATTATTTTAAAAAAACTCTAGAATTCTATGAAGCATAGCAATACCAGTATTTCCCGAAATGAGACATAGATATGAAGAAAGGTCGCAGAGATTATTTTTTTTTGTATTTAAATGGGCTCACGTTTGGCCACCATCTCGCCTTGTGGTAAGCGAAGATGTGGCCGACGATGGAGCATGCCTATGAGCAGCCTATTCACTAGGGACTTGAAGACACTCAAATTATATTTGCCGGAAAATACAGATTCCGGCAAGGAATACCATTGCTTAGCGGTTCGCACTCGGAAGCTTGATGCGACACGCTCCATTCGAATGGGTGAAATGTCCACCATACCTCTATAAGGGTGGCGCCCTGCCTTCATCTCAGTACTTCTTCAGTACGATGGTGAAACGGATTAGGAGGAATAAGGTTATGCAAGTTCTATGAAGTATAGCAACACGAGCATTTCCCGAAATGAAACATAGATATGAAGCATAGTAAGTAAGGTCGCAGAGAGGTCCTCGAGCTGAAATCAAACTTGATGGTCACTTTCAACCGGTACCTTAACAAGTCATTGAGGAAGCTTTCATTCAGGAGTAGACGTGGCCAAGGCCGTCTTAGACTACGCTAAGGAATTGCGATGACGACAGGGTATGAAAATTAAAAATCTAATTAGTCCGTCAGGTAGGTAATGAAAAAATATTAGGCACGCATTTTTTTATTTTGTTGTATAACAAAATGATACTTAGATATAACGAATCAAAGTTTAGGAGTGGGAGCTGAAACGTCATTTCTACAAATAAAATGTACATAGAAGTGATGTCACGCGACATTTCAAATCAATACATCGTGGAACGTATTCGTTTCTGTAAAAGAATAAAAAATACGTGTGTAATGTTTTAAAATATTTATATGTTATACCAGACGGATTTTAAAATAACAATTAGTTATCTACCCTATTCACGTACCTATGCTGTAACTCAAAAATACTGCCCAAACTTTTCCACATACGGAGGTTCTACTCAACACCTTAACAATACAATCGTATTTGGGAATAGTGGTTCCAATATATGTAAGTATCTGATAAACATTGGCATGCGTATACCTATGTGTGTATCACAATATGGTAACAACACCCACCCAACCGTTAAGAGACTAATGAATGCGTATGAATGTAACAGGCAATATCAGTGGCCTAGTGCTCACATGTAAATTACTATTTAGAGTCGTTGTGAGTCCTGTCACTGTCTGTGTAGCAATATGATTTCATTAAAGTAGCACTTTTATATAGCCTCACATTATAATTTGCGTAATTATTGTTTAAGCTAGCTGCATAATGTGCCTATATGTCATATGTGTCGTGGTAGCCCGAAGGTTTAAGACGCCCGCTTCTCATGCATGCATAGGGTCGAAACCTACCAACGGCAAGTACCAATGAGACCGTTTCGAGTTTTATGTACTTTCTAAAATTATTTTGACACCACTGACAAACGGTGAAGGAAAACATCGTGAGGAAACTTGAGCTTATAATTTCTAAATATAAGTTTTAAAATCGCCAACCCCGTATTGAGCAAGTGATTAATCTCCGTGCGAGAAGAGGCTTTGCTCAGTAGTGGGCATTTATAGGCTTACGTAGAAAAATTTTGAAATCTTAGGCTTTATCAGGCAGCCAATTACCGAATGAGTACAACTTAGCGGTCGGTCTTGAAACAGATTGACCAATGAAAGACCAAGTAGCCCAATTACTCCGCTTCAAATAATCAAAACGGGAACAACTGTCAATCACAAAGCAGAAACATAATATAGCTATATTTTGCATATTTTAATCTACATTTCCATTGTCTAAAACACTGTCACAAATGTACTGCAAAAACAGCAGGCGACCCGCCGCCGTCCGCATCCACAAACAGCTGTCCCAAATATCCGAATGATAATGTACGAGTAAACAGCCCATAAATACAGCTTTTTGCATTTCTGTTATCCTAGTACCTACCTCTGTTACTGAATTTTAATATGGTTTTGCAATTCTAATTGTAGTCTGTTTGAATTGTTTTGGTTAATCATTTAAAATGCTGTTTAGATATTGTACTTCGATTGTTGTAGTAAGATATCTTAGGTAAATGGAAGTTGTTTGTTATGAATTCCTTTTAATAATAACAAATGGCATTCTGTCTTTTGTATCTGTTAAGTGACGTTACAAATGGAACCTAACAAAAATATGACCTCTGATTACGTTTTCGGCAATACAATTTGATATACCTACTATGATTTGTGTTGAATATTGGGATAAAAAGGTATGGCCAAAAAATTGTATTCTATGGAGACGAAGTTGTGCAAAAAAATGGACAATCTTTCAATACAAATATCTTGACTCTATTTTCCGAGTTAGTTTTGACAATTTATGAGAATGACCTTTTCAACTCAAATGTCAGTATCTATCTGCAAATACAATATTATGCTTTACCAATACGTACTTATTTTTTAATACGGGACTTCTTACGGAGGTACGCGAATGAAGTCGCGGGCACCAGTTATTTTTATATAAACTAACTACTTACCCTGAACTATTTCACAGTAATAAAATGGTGTCAGCAAAGCTAACAAAGACATATTTAATAGTGGTGAAACAGATCCTTTAAAAATAATAAACTTTGTTAATTTTATTAATTCTGTATTTGTCTTTCCAGATAACCTGTCCTGTTTTACCCACGGATGCAGTACAGGATGGGTGTCAGGAGTACTAGGGAGCGAGGCTTTAACAGGAGGTGCCTGGTTAGCCGCACTACCGTGCCTGGTCGCGTTACCAGCTGCACCATTTTTCGCGGTGCTAGCTGATGCGAGAGGACGCAAAGCTGGGGCTTTTTGTATCTGCGTTAGTTTTATTGTAAGTTAATTTTAATTTTATTCGGACTGCCTCGTTGGCCGAGTGGTCGCAAGTGCGACTACCGGGCAAGGGGTCTCGGGTTCGATTCCCGGGTCGAGCAAAGTACTACTAGGTTTTTAAAAAAAATCTCAGTGGTAGCACGGAGTCTAGAATTGTGCCCGGTATATGGCAATAGGTTCACCCCCTATTACATGGGACTCATAACATAAATAGTGAAAAGTGGGTGTTACATTGTCCAGTGGCATTAAATGCCGTAATGTGCACCTCTGCCCACCCTTCGAGGATAAAAGGCGTGATGGTACGTTAATTTTAATTTTACTTTGATCAACTTAACTGCGAAATTATCAATACTTCATTATTGGCCACGCAAACAAAATTAATATAGGCACTCTACTGTTTACAGATAAGCTGGTCGTTAGCAGCATGGTGTGGTCCCCGAGGAGTGTGGGCTGCCAGGGTAGCAGCCGGCGCAGGAGGTGCAGGTGCCCTCGCATTGGCACCGCTGTATTGTGCCGAAATCGCTCCAAGAACAAGGGGATTAGCCGCAATGCCTTCATTAGCATGCAGGTAACCAGCCTATTAATAACTCCCGAAGTAAAATCTTTAGTTTAAAAAAAACTAACCTGAAAGTCAAAGAACGTATTAAGTTACAGATACAACTAAAAAAAAGTACTAAGAAACCAGAAGCCATAGGTGATCACAATTTGTTCTATCACATTTCAGTTGCGGCATTCTATTCGCGTACGCAGCCGGCGGTGTACTGTCAGCACATGCACTATCGCTATCAATGGCGATACCACCTTGTCTGCTCCTGGTGTCACTGATCTGGTTACCAGAGACACCTTCGTTCCTCATCAGCGTCGGGAGGATACAGGTAACGACAATTTTAGGTACCCAAAAAGAAAATGTTACTCGGTTTCCTTACAAGACCATATTTTTTTACATAACCAAATTTTGTTGATACAGGATGCAGCAAAAATAATCTGCTGGTTCGATGGCTCTGACTTCCGAGAAGATCTGACAGACGTGATAGAACAGCAAGAAGTCAAGATCAGGACTTCAGACTGCTACGGGAGACGGGATCCCATCCGAAGGCAGGACTCGGACACCTTCCAGCCGATGCTGAAGAGAAGTAGTGGACTGGACTCTAATTCTGAGAAGAAAAGAGAGCAGTCAGCTTGTAGGGAGCTATGTAAGTTGACAAAACCTGTGATTATTTAAACATTTCATCATATCTTGTTACACATCGAATCTTTATGTTCTTAGTGAAACTTTTCTGGTCCCAAATCCCCATATTTTTGTGGTCCATAAGTCATACCCTTTTTCAGTTTGATTATTTCAACTAATAAGTATTTTGATGTTTTCAGTTCGACACCGACGCACGCGTCGTGCACTATTCTCATGCCTGGTACTACTGAGTGCCGCTGCGGGCAGTGGCGCCGGCGCAGTCAACAGTTTTGCAGCGGCAGTACTGCGACACTCCACGCACAGTGTACCCCATCTTAACGTTACAGCTTACAACTTTACTATGTATAATGGGTAAGAAATACTTACTACCTCTAGGGTCTTGGTCTCAGAACTTATGTACCTTTAGTTGAGATTAATTAATACTTGATTATCATTTCGTTTTCGCCATTTCCAGAACTGCGCCTCGCTCACTGTTCGAACCATCAGAAGCTGGTTCCATACTATGCGGTACTGCACTGGTCCTTGGAGCCGCGGTTGCTACTGTTTCTGTAGACAAACTTGGCAGAAAGGTAAAAAGAACTGTTTTATTACCTCGTGACAATATGGCATTGAATTACTGGATTAAACTTTAATCACTTTTTATTTATACTTACAGATGCTGCTGCTCTGGTCATGTTCAGGAATAACCTGTTGCCTCGCCATACTAGGAGCGTACTGTGACCCCAACATACGTCTGTACTCCTGGTACTCTCACCGCTTGTGGCCTTACAAACGAACGCACAATATCAAGGAGAAGGGCCTACAATTGACGGAAAACTTCACACAAGTTAATGCAATTCCAGAATGGAAGAATTATACGAACGATAGTTCCAGGTTTAGAGTGGTACTTGAGAATGGTAGTGTTCCTGGAGAATGGAAAGTTCAGAATTTGACGAATGTGGTAGAAAATGCGGAGAAGCAAGAAGAAAATTTATGGGCCCCTGTAGCTTTGATGTCAGTGGTGCTGTTTTTGTACAATATAGGATTGGGATCCGTGCCTTATGTACTTATATCTGAATTGTTTACCATCAATGTGAGTATTCGTTTGCTTTGCGTGTGCTGTACTACTTAATATTATCTAAGTATAATAATTACTCACGTTTATTTTAATTTTCAGGTAAGAAGCCTAGCATCCAGTCTCCTAATATCATGGATGTGGCTTAGCAGTTTCTTCATTCTTCGGTACTACGGCACCATCGCCGTCTCTGTAGGCCTTCACGGCACTTACTACATATGCGCCTCCATCACACTCCTGGGATCCTTGTACATATTCTTTATTATTCCTGAGACGAAAGGAAAAGCCCAAGAACAAATCGACGAAGCCCTTGACGGACCATTACTGGTGATTAACCGAAAGAGAAAGAACCGCGATCAACGATGACAGAGGAGGATTCCAAAAGTATTTACAGTGTTCTTCTCATCATTATAAGCTGCTATGAGTTCATGATACCCTGGTAGGGCGAGAGTTTGCCAAATGGAAGTCGCTCAATTATGTTAATGGCGATTGACAAACATATCGAGGTAAGAGTGTTCCGAAGCTAGAAATTAATGACAATGTGTTTCAATGGTACGGTCGGTGGTGTAAGATAATAAATATGAATTATTATCTGCCCTATATATATGTATGTCTATTATTTCTGTTAATGCTACAAAAAAAATCACACGTTTTTAGTTTGTGAATTTCCTTCAAAGCAAAAGTACAATCATTGTATCACTTCCATAACCTCGTTCTTTCGATAAGTAACACAATTTTTTTCTCGTAAGGTCAGCCCCAAAAAAACTAATTAATGTGAAATGTTTGTGATAGTTATTTAAGTATTGGACTTAGTGTAATAAATGCACAAATAATATTGAATGTAAGTAGGTTCGGTGTGGTCATAATGAGAATAGATCATCTATAATTAATACATTTTAGGTGTTAAATTGGGACTCTATCAAGATTAATATTCACGTAAAACGGCTTACTCACATAACTATTTGACGAGGAAACTCGACTAGTTTCGGACCACGCCAGGGGCTCATATTTAATACTATGCAATCATAATTCAGTTCGATTGTTCTTATTATGACCATCAATGTTTGTTTATGTGTACACTTTTAAGTACTTGATCGTACTGCCAACAATATAGTTAAGTATATTATGTGTTCTAAAGTGTACATAAATGGCAATGTGTCTGTAAAGTACAATTGACAAATTTCAATCATGACCCACTTTGATACTAATTCGTTTGAAATAACGAAGACCAAAATTATTAAGGAGAAATGTGTTTAAATAAATATCACCCTAATTGTTAAAAAAATATGGTGGGTCATAATTCAAATGAGTCTTAATTATGACGATTATTATTAAAAATAGATAAATATTGATGAAATTGTTGTAATAATAAGAAATTACTGTATTTTATAGCAGAAGCCGTGTTGTACCAAGTAGATGTTGCTCACACAATGTCAATATTGTATAAATAAGTGTGATAATATTTTTCTATTAGTCACTTTGTGATAATTGTATATTATTGATTTGGAGAGTTCTCATCATTTTACCAAGTTTTCTAATTATATTTTTTAACGTTGCCCCACATTAGGATTCTGTCCTGTGTCGTAGGTGTGTTTACAAACATACAAGTTCACATACCCGTAACACCCAGACCCGAAACAACAATTTGTGGATCACACAAAGAGTTGTTCCGTGTGGGAATCGAACCCGCAACACGTAGTGCGGCAGCCGGTTGCCCAGCCACCGCACCAACCGTGCAGTCAACCAAGTCAGTTTAATCTATTGTTGAAAACGAGATAACGCAAATGTAGCAAGAAATTTTTTGTCCAATCACAGCAATTATCAAATATTGAACGCCCAATGGTGACATACTAGCTAATTCCCTATTGGGCGAAGAACGAAAGGTACACACTAACGCTATCTAGTGAGCAGAAATGCAATAGTCCAAGCAACAGAAAATTAATTACAATTCAGTTTCATGGAATAAAGCATCAAGTATAAACGAGAGTATTATATCTTTTATTTAATTATTTTAATTTAATACCTCTATATAACCTATTCTATCGCATTCTTTATGGAATCTTAAGAAAGAAATAATATTTTTATATTACAGTGATAATACCTATGTCACTTTTACTAAAATAAATTATGTAATATGTTCCACCAAATCTTTCGCCTTGTACTAAAACATGGACGATGAGAAATATAATTATATACCAAAGATTTTTTTGGAGATAGTTGCAGAAAAGAAAATATAGTCTATAGATAAATTACACAATTAAATAGGGTAGTTTCCTAAATTTTATTTTAATATCCGTCTGGGACATTAATTTAAACTTTAGATACGTATTTTTTTTTCTTACAAAATTAAATACTTTCGACGATAATTTGAAATATCGTGTGACGTCACAGCGTGGTATATTTTGTAGCACGTTATGACGTAACGACCTCCCACTCCTAAACTTAGCGTCATTTTATCTAAGTGTTGCCACTTAATACGAGAAAAAAAAAAAACATGTCTAATATTTTTTATTATCTAACTGACGGACTAAATAGATTTTTAATTTTAATTTCCTGGAAACTACCTAATTATATTCGTGGACGAAACATTCGTACATATTTTTATGTAGATGAATATGATTCAATAGTACGTTCAATAGTTCATTTGAAAATAACTTCTAACATTTCCTCAGGGATATTTTTTTATGATTGTATGAATTATTAAAGATAACATAAAAAATACGGATTACAATAATTATTCAAAGCGGGTAGCGTCAAACTTCAAAATAAAATTCAGCATTAGTGGCTTTACTGATGTACCAGGATAATTATATTTTTTTTTAAATATGATTACCAGTATGTAAGTGTATTATGTTCAGTGTGCCCAACTATGTCATACTGTTCAATTCGCACAAAGTGTGTACAAACATGATGTATATTTGTGTACAGCGTGTATTTTAAATGACTGCTTTCCCGAGGTAGATCGATTTAATCTCAGTGGGACTGTCTATTAAAATAAAATTTTAATATAAATATTGAGGTAGTAGGAATCGTAGTAATTGACGTTCCCTAGTCTCTGCCTATCCCCATGGGAGACAGACGTGAAGTTATTTATGTATGTATGTATAAACATTGATTTGATTTATTTATATGTTATACCTATGCATCATACGATCACGCATGCTGTAAACTGATTGCTAACATGAAATGTGATGGCAACAACCTCACAACTAACTCACCACAAAAAACTTCCGATGATTATTAATTATTATAGTTATTGATTTGAAATATCGTATGATTTAGTACTAGTATTATGATTTTACTGAAGTTGTGTTTTACGTAATGGGTACGTTGTGTCGTATTGTAATTGATGGATTAAATACATCTTTATTTTCTATACCTTGTCATCGTCCCTATTCCTTACTATTGGCCCGAAGTCGATTTCGAGTTAACTTTTTCACTATCATTATTATTATTTATTTTCATTATCATTTTTAGTTCCATCAAATTAAGATGTGTTATGGTAAAAAGATTCATAGAATTTAACTTCGGGAAATTAATAATGAGAAATTCACGCTATATACTAATTATATACATAGTTTAGATAGCTCAATACATTAAATATAGACGGAAGATAATTTTTAGCCAAATTTTACGGAGATATAAACATATTTGTGGAATTGAATGTTAATATTATGTATTACATTTTGTATGGATGAATTAATTAAATGGCTTTAAATGTGCATTATGTTGATTATTTGATTTTTGGTGTACCTACGTATGTGTGTATTATACACAACAATTTTTCATTAAAAATTTTCATTACCTATAAGAAACTGTTTACTCACGCAAATATACTGAGAAAGCTCTACTCTAGTTTCGAGTCACAGAGGGACTCTTCCTAATGATTTCTATTTTTTTAGTTTATTGATTTTTTAATTTCCAGTATTCTAGCTAAAAACTTTTACTTTAAGCCTTTGACTACCGACAGTAAACTGTGGAAGGTAAATATCCTTCGCTATCGTGGCCCATACCTTGTCCCCCATGGCGTTCAAGGTGTTAGGTAATTATATTTATGCGTTCATGCAGAAACGTAACGAAACATATTTTAATTTAGTTTATATGTATTTTGTTCAGTTCTTGTCATTTTTTAATGATCGACGCAGAGTGAACTGCACATGGACAGTCAACATATCTATATTACACCTTTTTTTAAGGGGGGGAAATCATCGAATGAGTGCTCCCACCTGGGTGAGGCGGGAGGGAGTGTCAGACTCTTACTGACTAAAAACCACCCCGTTCCTTCTCCTGCACGTCGAGCCGGAGCCCTAGTTACCCGTTAGGTTCTCCGCGACATATTACACCTTAAACATATTATCAACAAGCAATCTCATATTTAATAATTTCCAAAAAATAAAACAATAGTCGTTATTAGACATAAACATTTTAATTTTCCATTATTATCTTTACAAATGCATGTAAATTACCTAGTGCTTACATTGAGATTCTTCGTTAGACAAAAATCTCCCTAATTACCACAATAATTCATTTAGTTCAAAATTCATTGTAAATTGTATAAAATATAGGTAGTTGATATGTTTAACTTTGCCTCAAAAAATGATTTTGATATAAATTACATCTATGATTTTATTTTGTATTCTTACAAATATAGTAGGTACCAGTAGAAGGAAACCTAATCATCAACTTCCGATGATTGTACATACATTTTTCTTTCTACTAAAATTCATAGTACTCAACGTCTATGATGTCCTAGTACTTCAAACACATTTTTACACAGCCTATATCACCAATAAACATGAATCACAAAAACAAACTTATTGACTGATAGGAAACAGGCTTCCTGCTCCCAAATTAATACAAATTCCAAAAATGCCCTGGTTAGTGGTTATCCCTATTTACAACTTCCTCTGCTGACCCCAATTTCATAAATTAACCATATCCGTAGCTAGCCCCGTGTTATTCGATGATAAGAACTATTATAATCAGCATAATTTACACATAATGTATCATAGTTAAAATAATTTCAAGAACATAATTTATACAATACTTAATGATTTTGTTTATAGGAAAAAACTAATAATTAGTAAAGCAGTCTGCTTATAACTTATAAAACCAATATATAGACACACTCATTCTTAAAAGAATACAGAAGAATGCCACCAAATAGACTAACAGTAAAAATACTGCGTACGATTGCTGCAGTGCAGTCCATTTGATGGCGACCCGACATTTTCTAGACACCTTCCAACATTTGGCATTCATAATCACAGTCTCACTAAACCCTGCATGATATCATCAAACAGCTTCTGAGTTAAAGGAACATATTCTCCGGTCTTTTGATCCATAAAATACATCGGATCGCTTACGATTTCTACATCAAAACCTTGTTCCATCAGCTCTTTCTTCTTGAGCTTAAAAGTAGCAGTAAGTGGTGACTCTGGCAAGATCCTAATGAAAAGAGGTCGAGCGAATACTGGCAGTGAGGAACGAAGACCTTTGGCTAGTGATGCCAGGTCCAAAGTTCTCTCTGGATCAGCGATAGCTGCCATTCCTGCTTTTCCTTCTGTGTTCGGTACCTGTTGTAATGATAAATATTTTTACTAAAACTGCACTTTAGCCTATTAATAATAAAGGTGAATTTGTCTAATTTCTTACCTTGACTCCGTAAACTACAGCATCTTTCAGTCCAATCAATGAACTGATAACTCCTTCTACTTCTGCAGTTGATACATTTTCACCTCGCCACCTGGAATTAATCATTTAAGGATTAATATAATTTCTTCAAGAAGTTAAATTTTAATTATTATACTGAAGATTTTCTTTTTCTCACTCCCAATTTCTGGTAATGTGGGTACTAGGCTAACATAAAACTCAAGGTGCTCACCTGAATGTATCCCCAGTTCGGTCCTTGAAGTAGAAGTACCCATAATGATCCATTACAAGAACATCACCAGTATTGAAATAACAGTCACCTTCACTTCTCACATTGCGTACCATCTTCTTTTCTGAGGCAGTTTTGTCAGCATACCCCGCAAATGTCAGGATAGCTTTTTTCGCATCAATTTTACCTAGCAGAAGACCTGGAAAAATAGGCTTTATTATTAAGCTGTTTAGGTTCATTTTATTGTGATATGAATGATTGTTGAAAAAATACCTGGTTCATGAGGACCGCAAGTAATACATCTGCCGTTACTGTCTCGCAGGATTTCACCAGTAATCTCATCACATCTGAAAATCAAGATTTTGACTGTAAATTAATCTTGAACCATACATATAATTAGAGAAATAGAAACTATATCAATTTGTAATTAGTTACAGATTTTTATGTCATGCATGGCAGTAAATACTCACTTGACTAAAGTAAGAGGATAAATAGTTGAGAATATCCTACTCAAGAAACCAATGGCTCCCACTTTTGAGTCAAGATTTACTGAAAATATAAAAGAAAATCAAATTAGACAAACAAATTATACGACCACAACAGGACATATTAACATTCAGATTTACAACTCACCAAGATTGCTGTTTCCCTCAGTAGCTCCATAGAACTCCATGACTCTTTTGATGCCAAATCTTTCAACAAACTCTTCCCATATCTGCGGCCTTAGTCCGTTGCCGAAGATTACGTTGACTTTGTGAGCGCGGTCGTTAGGACCAGGAGGCACTGCGAGGAGGTAGCGGCAGATCTCACCAATGTACTGAGTAGCCTGAAAAAGAAATAAGTAGTTCTATCACTGATTATATTATTGGTAAAACATGTAATTCACGTGCATTATCAGAAACATTTTCCTGAAAACTGTATAGTATCCATTTGAACTTGAATTATATTTGTATATCCATAAATAGAAGTAAGATGTTGGAGATCTCGCCGTCTTAAAGTTATGCCGAATATAATTACACTGGTTTACTTTATAAAAAAGTACCTGATAGTCACTTACCGTGCATCCATATTTAGCAGCATCACTCCAGTAATTGGAAGCGGAGAACTTCTTCCTAAGCACAACTGTACACCCTGAAACTATAGAAAGACCTGCGCCAAGAACTCCGCCTGCCGTGTGGTGAAGAGGTAGTGGATCGTATATCACATCGGATGGAGTGAGCTGCGCTGAGCTCTGCACTCCTAGTGGAATCAACAGGTATCTGAGGAAAAAACGAAAAATTTGAATTTATTTTAAGTAAATAAGATTTCTAGTATTCTTGTTCACATTGGAGCTTTTATCCTCATTACCAAAACTTCAAAAATATCCTAATAGACTGCGTTGCAAAAATCCCACATTACTTAAAAAAAATCCTCACAAATTGGCACACATTCAAATACCCGACTACAATAATTATCGTCTAGTTTTTAAGTGGAAAATTCCGAAAAACACATAAAATATTCTGACGAACAAGTAAGTTTTCCTCAACTGAATCATCAAAATTTTTCATCCATCCTCACCGATTTAACACGATAATTGATATTTTTAATAACTCAACGTAATTTCATTGAGTAATTATTCTAAAAATTTGCGTGCTTACCTAATATTTGTAATAATAGCTGCCTTAGGGAATCCAGTAGTCCCACTAGTATAAATATACAAGAGCGTGTCCCTTGGTTTCGCCTGCTCAGTTTCAATGACAGGCTCTGTAGACATTTCCTTCAGCTCGACGGACAAGTGTGATGTACCCTGGACGAAAGGAGCCTTCTCTCTATCCGGAGAGTTGTATTGAAAGAGTGGGATGTCTGGAATCTCCGATTGGATCTCCTTTACAGCTGGAATGTGGAAAAACGTAATGTTTAAGGTCTAATGATAAATGGGTTAACAGAGTTTAGTAGTCTACTGTTTTATGAACAGTACAGGGTACAGGGCTCTGATGAATGTTTGTTTATATACAGAAACTAATACAAATAAATTGATCATCATAAGCATCAGCAGCAGCAGCCGAAAGACGTCCACTGCTGGACAAAGGTCTACTCCTTTTTTTTAAGGGGGGAAAATCATCGAATGACTGCTCCCGCTTGGGTGAGGCGGGAGGGAGTGTCAGACTCTTACTGACTAAAAACCACCCCGTTCCTTCTCCTGCACGTCGAGCCGGAGCCCCGGTTACCCGTTAGGTTAGCAATCCATGTCCTCTAATAAATAGATAAAAATGTCAAATCTACAGCTACCAATAAGTAGTTTACAATTACAAAGATACAATTTTATTACAGTTTCAGAAAATCGCCAAATCACTATTTGGTAGCTTCAAATAAAATAAGATATAATCTTATCAACAAATCAAAAGATAAAGTGTTACTGAACTCTTCATAAAATAAGACTGAGTTATTTTTTGCATATAAAAACTACTTACTAAGTACATGAAACATGCCTATTATCTATTTTTTAAAGTCTAACAAAGACAATCACGTACATTCCGACATCTCGTCTCCAAAGATAACAGCTTTGCAGCCAGCTATCCTGAGGCAATGTATCAGTTGACTGCCCTTCAAGTTGGTGTTGATCAGTGCAGTGGTCACCCTGATCTTGGCCAGACCGAGCCATAGGAACACATACTCTGGCTGCGTCTCCATCAACAAGGCGATTACTTCACCAGGTTTATATCCTGCGCGCTTGAAGTACCAGGATATACGGTTACTGAATTCATCACCCTGAAAGATAAATGAACACATAACATCACGCCTTTTATCCCTGAAGGGCTACCCTTGTGCAGAGGTGCACATTACAGCACTTAATGCCACTGTACAATGTAACACCCACTTTTCATTATTTGTGTTATGAGTCCTGTGTTATAAGGGGTAAGTCCATTGCCATATACCGGGCACATTTTTAGACTCCGTGCTACAACTGACATTTTTAAAACACCCAGTAATACTTTGCCCGACTCGGGAACCGAACCCGAGACCGGTTGTCGTACTTGCAACTACTACCACTTACCACCACGTTTTTGGGGATTAATTTATTAATGTTTTTTTTTTGGTCCTTCGATACGGATAGCTATAAAAACATTAAATGATGCCTTTTTGTTTACTAATGAAGTTACCCATTCAAGTTAGTCATTCAATAAAGAAATTAAAGAAAAGTATGCCAGAAGAATATCCGCTGTTAGGTATTCCTTTATAGGGACCAAGTCAGAGGACCACCTATTAAGATTTAAGATTATACTTAAAACTTATAATGCAATTTACAATTCTTCTATTAGCAAAATTTCATTCAAATTCATTCACTAGCTTCTGCCGTTGTCCTTCACACATATACTACTTCTGTAAGATATGTTGCTTACCTCGCGGAACGTGAGAGCCCTATTGTCCATGACAAAGGCCTTTTTGTTCGGGCTCATTCGAGCCACATCGGCCCACCTCGTGACCACCGTCTTGCCTTGACGCTCCCACATCCATATCCTGAATATTGTGTATAGAAGGACACGCAGACCTCTGGAATAGAAAATATAAAGTCATGTACTTTGGTTTGGTTCACCATAAGATCAATTGCGTCCTGATTAAACGAACAGACGGATCACCTGATGTTAAGCAATTGGCGCTGCCCATGGACACCTGAAGCACCAGAGGCGCTATAAGTGAGTTACCGGCCTTCTGAGTGTTAATTGAGGAGAGGATTTGAGGATTGGGGAGATAGGGGAGGAGGGGAAATCGGGCCTCCGAAAATTAAGTGAACACTGCTACCCATACTCTTAGTGGGTGGGCAATTTTAGGACATAATGGTCCGTTGGATTTCATCCTTCAGTAGGTACCTACTTTCCCTTACCATATTTCTAATTATTTTCAAACGTAGGTACAAAGAATTTTAATACTGCCTATAATCTTATCATGTAAGTACTGTAATACGAAAGTATTATTTTATCGTACTAATCAAGCGTAATAAACATCTACTATCTAATGATATTATGAAGTCGTATTACGTTTTTAATTTATTACATAATGATAACAAGATATAGAGGAAAGTAATCTTCATTATATCTCAACAGTTTTGTTTATTTTTATCATTTTTTTTTATGGGATAAGCAGGTAAATGGGCATACGGATCACCTGTTAGTAATCAATCGGCGTCGCCCATGGATACCTGGAACGCCAGAGGTGTTATAAATCGTAACCGGACTTTTGTTGATTAGGAGTTTAAGGATCGTTGGGGATTCAGGGATTGGAGAGATTGGCGAAGGAGGTGTGGTAATTGGGCCTCCCCAATAACCTTACTCGCATGACGAAATACGACGAGGCCTCTGTGAGGTCTTGGTATCACTCCCATACTTAAAATACATGTATAATAATTGTTTTAAAAAAACTGACTTCAATCCCCTCTGTTTTTGAAGTCGCTAAAATCAGATATTTGTATTTAATTTTAATTCTCCCTTTTAGTAAGCCTCGCCAGTAACATTCCCACATGCAATCTACCAGGCAATCATAAAATTACATAACACTTCGATGACGAGCTCTCGTATGTTCGAGCTGGCCAATCATCCAATCACTGAGAGCAACTACAGTGGACTGACACCTCTTACTATAGATCCTACATCTTTCTGCTCTCCTGATCTAATAGGGAACATCCGGCTTACCTTAAATTGTGAGTTATTTGTTATGTTGTATCGTCAAACTTCATTCATAGGAACAAACAATATTGAAAAATAGTACATAGACATGTCCCCACGCTTTTAAAGGTATTCTAGCATTACACTAGTTGATCTAAACGAAAAATACAGATTGTGTTAAGTAATTTGTCAAAAAACAAAAATGCAGTGTCATTTTGTAAACAAAACCAACATGAAAGTTGTCAAAAGTAAGCGTTACCCTTGTACATATTTGGTCCTTCGGTATATTATCTTCAATAGTTTGCAAGTAAAACCTTAACATTTTACTCATATTATTTTCGAATTTTACCCGTTTTAAATATGTCTTTAATATATGTAATTATGAGATTTATAATTACCATTTAAATTCCGGGTTTTGAGAACTGAATCTCCGTCAATCATTTTAAGCTTAACGCACATACAATTTGCTACGGTATACGTGAAATAATATTTTTATTTTTATTATTATTAATTTTATTTAAACTGTCAAACACCAAGCGGTCACCGGTGACCGCGACCTATTGTTCTTTAATTGTGTCTATAAAACCGGTACTCGACGAGTTAAAAACACAGGTATGTATCTTATAATCTAAGCCCCACAAAACCGTTGGAATGGTTTGACTGCGGGGTCGAGTCGCTAGACATTACAATTAAATGTACTTATATTTAAATGTTGTACAGGCGTTGAAACTTATACTTAGGTACTTATTATATATGTACTGTATCTCTATTTAGATATTCATTTTTTTTTGCTTTACGTATTTAATATGTGAACGAAAGCCCATTTAAAACGAAAATATCAATATTAATATTTCGAGCATTCATACGTATAAAAACAGCTAAATAAAGAAGAGATAAACTGATAAAAGGCCATTTCGCTTTGGAATGTTAACTGAACGAGTCCCCCTTGTAAACAGTTTATGTACTAGGAGATCAGGAGAGGCCAAGGTCCAACGCAACGGGCAATTGCTGCAGACACCTTGTGGCCGTACAATGGAGAGCTATCAACTGCGTCCGGTGTTTCGCATTACTCGCTACAGCTTATGCTAGTCTGGTAATTTTGAGGAGATAGAGACAAATATGTAGTAAGATTACATACGCAATTTCACGCCTATCTCTAATGGGGGTAGGCAGAGACTATGGAACACCAATTCCTACCATTCCTACATAGCTCTTTCGCTTCATCAACAGTCATCAATCTTTAAGATTAGATGTAGTAAGATTTTTATAGAAATTAATTCTAATTCGGTTCTTCACCGTCGTCCTTATTTTATAAAAGGTTTGCCCTATTATCACGATTAACTGCTAGTTATTAACATCAGCAGTATAGATAACATGCTGATATTTTTCAATTTCAATCTTTGTTATCTTTATTTACATTAATAAGAAACTATTTACAACTTAAAATACACAATAAAAGAAAACTAAAAATAACTATTTACACAGAGATTATGTTTGTTCCCTACGGAAATTGACTCAACAACGCGCAAAATAATGATGCACAATTGCATATCTTACCCAACAGTCGTACAAATAAACTCAACCTTATTAACGTTAAATTAATAATATTTCATAATTGACCAACGTAAAATTGAGCATGTCAACTTAACAATACACTTTACAAATAAAATTTAATTCAAACGCTTTGCTGCAAGTATATCACTACATAGTATAAAACAAAGTCGCTATCCGCCGCGCCGTCTATCTGCCCCTATGTATGCTTAGATCTTTAAAACTATGCAACAAATTTTGATGCGGTTTTTTATAATAGATAGTGATTCTTAAGGAAGGTTTATATGTATAATAAATGCATATTGGACCTGTGCGAAGCCGGGGCCGGTCGCTAGTCTACAATATTTATTGTACTCAAGCAAATATGACAGACTGCATCTCCAAACAAGTTAGACGAGTGCATATTGCTCCTTCTCAATGAGAACCAACACGCGATGCCTCAACGAGGTTCAATGTGATTCATTAACATTCATTAGCACTGCTGGACTGAACTTACTGCACCTGTCTTTGAAAATTTACACATTTATATTGTTTTGGAGACCAAAATCAAGTCTAATCTATTAAGATTACTATATTATATATATTAATATATAAATCTTATGTCACAATGTTTGTCCTCAATGGACTCCTAAACCACTTAACCGATTATAATAAAATTCGCACACCATGTGGAGTTCGATCCAACTTGAGGGTGATAGGATAGTCTATTTTTCATTAGGGTACAGTAGAATAGGGTAGAGTAGGGTAGAGTAGGGTAGAGTAGGGTAGAGTAGAGTAGAGTAGGGTAGAGTAGGGTAGAGTAGGGTAGAGTAGGGTAGAGGAGGGTAGAATAGGGTAGAGTAGAGTAGAGTAGGGTACAGCGGGATAGAGTAGGTTAGAATATTACGCGGTACGAAGTTCGCCGGGTCAGCTAGTTTAACTATATGGATACGGGTATTTGCTCCGTGAAAGCAGCCAGCTCTGTAAGTGTGGGAGAGCCACGCTTCATGCTTCAGCACGAATAGGCCGGGTCGACCGGAGTGATAGATACCACGGCCTCACAGAAATCCGACCTATTACCACGCTTGCGTTGTGTGTGAGGTTACCGGAGGTCCAATTGTCCCCCCCCCCCCCCTCCTCAATGTCTAAATCCTCAACAATACTCAAATTCCTAATCCCCAAAAGGCCGGTAACGCTTACAACGCGATCACTTACCATCAGGTGATTAATGCTCATTTACCGGCTTATCCCATAAAAAATTAGCTTTTAGTCAACAAAGTATGACAACTAAATTCATCATTTGGGTGTGTGGCGCAAATAAGTAAAATACACATAGCATTACGCCTTTTATCCCCGAAGTACAATGTCACACCCACTTTTCGCTATTTATGTTATGAGTCCCATGTAATAGGCTCACCCTATTGCCACACACCGGGCACAATTCCAGACTCCGTGCTACTACTGAGAATTTTTACAAACCGAGTAATACTTTGCTCGTCCCGGGAATCGAACCCGAGATCCCTTGTCCGGCAATCGCACTTGCGACCACTCAGCCAACGAGGCAGTCAAATGAGTAAAATACAGGGAATTATCTCCGTTTTGAACGTTTGAAACTTATGTATAAAAAGTTTGATTTAATATCTTGAACCGAGTAATATTTTGTAAATTTTGTTTTACATTTAACTTCGACTCACGTTTTGTTAATTGGTTTTAGTCCTCGTATCAGTTGCCATAAACCTTGACAGGAAAGGCATAAAGTCCATAACATAACATCACGCCTTTTATCCCCGAATTGGTAGGCAGTAGTGCACATTATACCACTGTACAATGTAACACCTACTTTTCACTATTTATGTTATGAGTCCCATGTAATAGGGGGTGAGCCTATTGCCATATACCGGGCACAATACCAGACTCCGTGCTACTACTGAGAACATTTAAAAACCCAGTAATTCCAAAAAGCCCATTCTTAAGTTTTGCACTTAGCAACACATTTCACTATTAATTTTTACGTATGTTTTGACAACAATAAATTATATAATATTTGAAAATTAATCTACATCCTCTAGACTTATCTACTAATACAAGGGATTTTAATCAATTTATCAATGAATTATCTCGATATCAATTATTGAACTTTCGACTGCATTTTATTATACCTACTTAAGTATTTTCATTTTTTTCCTCGACAAATTGTACCTATAGAGGTTTATAACACTTTGGTCTATTCTTAGTAACTGATAGTATATGGATGACAATAGCACGTGGGATGCTTTGATTTAATTTTAACTAGCGACCCGCCCCGGCTTCGCACGGGTGCAATATGCATGTATTATACAAATAAACCTTCCTCAAGAATCATTCGATCTTTTAAAAAAACCGCATCAAAATCCATTGCGCATTTTAAAGATCTAAGCATACATAGAGACAGATAGACGGCGGATAGCGACTTTGTTTTATACTATGTAGTAATAAATGTTTAATCTATCTTTATTAATAAAAATGGATTATCAAAATATATGTAATACATACATCATTTAAGTAGTACCTACATAACACATCGAATTATATAATTATTTGTCGTATTCATTGCCATCAGTTACTGTACCTAATTGTTCTTTTTTTCCATTGCGATAACTTAAATTAACAAAAAACAAAGTTTGTATAAAAGAAAGATTCGATACATTCATCGAGAACATCGGTTAATACCACCTAGACAAAGCTGGGGCGTGCCACTAGTTTTTATTAAAAGAATTGTTTATTTATAGAAGTTATTCATATTTGTTTTAACAATCAATAGTCGAATTCAATAACTAAATAACAATTACATTCCACATTATTCATTTAAATATCTGGTTCTGTATAAATATTTATAAAATGCGCCTGTTTACGTTGCACTTTGCTCACTAGATTGTAAATTCTGCAACAAAACCCATCTATTGTTTAGGGGAATGTGAAAGAATGGATGGACTTCGATCAGTTTATATGTACCAGGGGACAATGAGTTGACAGAGCATCGAAGACACGCGACACCGGGCTAACCTTTGCACTGTTTGATAACGTGTGTAACAACATGCATGGACGGAATTGGGGGTTATTCTCTAATGTAATGTTTCTTGTTAATAATGTTATTTTTATTTAATAAGTACTTCATGCTCACTTGGCAACAAACCAAACGTGTTTACCAACTTTCAATAGAAAATCGTAATCAAAGAATAAAATAAAATAGAATAATATTTAATATACAACCTTAATAATATAGTAGGTACTTTATTATTACAATATTTCTCTACCTATACAAAACAATAATAAATTATATTTTGTTTATTAAAATAAAACTCATAAAAAAATTGAACAACGTAATTGTAAAATTAACGTTAAAACTTAACACTTTTTTTCAGGGGGGAATATTATCCAATGACTTCTCCCGCCCGGGTGACGCGAGAGGAAACGTCCTGAATAAAACCACCCCGTTCCTACTCCTACACTTCGAGCCGGAGCCCCGGCAACCAGTTAAGTCCTCCGCGGCTCCGTATCGGCATCGGCCCTATCGAGCCCCATCTGCGGTGGTCTGATGGCTTCTTGAAAGGTCCTATTCCACTACGACTGAAAATCGTCAATTTGTTGCGCATTTCAATTCAATGAAAATTAACATTTTCCTACAGTTAAGATGTATTGTAATTTTATGGTGTCCTGTATTTTGTAATAATATGTGTAAGGTGTACAATCTATATAAATAAAAATCAATTTCCGCTCGTAAGTCTCGCCAGAACTCGAGAACGGCTAAACCGATTTGGCGAATTTTGGTTTTGCAATGTTCGTGGAAGTCCAGGGAAGGTGTAAAAGGTTAGGAAAAAATATTAAGGCGGTACGAAGTTTGCCGGGTCAGCATAAATATAAATATTAAATAAAATAATGTTGTCTTTTCAGTCAAAATTACATGTGTGTTTAATACTTCATTGTGACCATTATAATGATTTAAAAATATTATTTCTTAATTTAAAATAAATGTTCTATTTGTAGCCACACGACTCGTTCCACTATTAACAGCTAGATCTCCAAATATTCATATTTCCAAAAAAATAATTACGAGTCATGACTTCACACGAAAAACAGTTTTTAATTTAAGCATAACATTTGAGAATATACCAGGCTCTCATCTGTCAAAAGAGACTACACTTAATTATACTCAACATTGATAAGAACACTAAGTATTTGAAACATAACATTATTGTTCTCTACATACCGGGAATATAAGGTGGATAATGAACCGATAATAAGTCGATAATTCACTATGTATTTATGTTAGTAGTTCACACCATCTTACAGATCGACTTTCACTCTCACCCAATTGTCTCTCATCGATTGTTAATAAAATGTTACCAATATTATAATTGGTAAAAAATTGTGTGTATGTTTATTGCTAAAACACAGTTTACATCACATATTAACTTATTTATTAACACCACAAAACTACTGTATTCATAGTTAATTTTAAGTTGTTATTATTTTTGTAATTATATATCATTGATTTGTTAATGACAATGTACCTATATAACCTATTTAAAGAGTAACTACACTATAGGCCCATCCCCTACTACATGGGACTCATAAGATAAATAGTGAAAAGTGGGTGTTACATTGTACAGTGGCATTAAGTGCCGTAATGTGCATTGCCTACCTCTTCGGGGATAAAAAGCGTGATGTGATCTTATGTTATGTTATGTTAAAAAGTAACTATTAAGTAATTAATTAAAATTTGCAATTTGTGATGTATTAACGACTAGCTACTTCCGCGCGGTTTTACACGCTCTGCTCAGCTCCTATTGGTCGTAGCGTGATGTTTTTTAGCCTATAGCCATCCACGATAAATGCGCTATCCAACACAAAAATAATTATTCAAATCAGACTTGTAGTTATGGCGATTAGAGCGTTCAAACAAACAAGCAAGAAAACAAACTCTTCCGCTTTATATAATAGTATACGAATACACAGACTAATCATGTCAAAACGGGTAAAAGAATCAGGATGAAATTTGGAACAGGGACACATTATTATCTGGGCGAAACCGCAGGCAGAAGTTGGTTGGTTAATAAGAACGAATCATACTAACTTAATAGCCGTTCAAGAGCGTTAAAATAAAGTATTTAAAACAAAACCTTTGTATTCCACTGACATTCCGACTGTACATCTACTTCTGCGCCAAATTTCAATTAGATACATCCAGTTTCTTTTGCATAAAAGATTAAAAAAACACCTACACATAGGTATCCTAACAAAAGTTCATATATCACATCAAAACATACATAACATAACATCACGCCTTTTATCCCCGAAGGGGTAGGCAGAGGTGCACATTATACCACTGTAGAATGTAACACCCACTTTCCACTATTTATGTTATAAGCCCCATGTAATAGGGGATGAGCCTATTGCCATATACATTTCCAGACTCCGTGTTACTACTGCGATTTTTAGAAACCCAGTAATACTTTGCCCGTCCCGGGAATCGAACCCGAGACCCCTTGCCCGCCAGTCGTATTTACGACCACTCGGCCAACGAGGCAGTCATATACCATATCAGTAGGAGTAGGTTAGTATAGAAATGTGTATGAAATAAGAAACCTTGTATTACCTCTACAATGTGGTCTGAGCAACAACGGTGGCACTAACCGCAGCTGAATGAAATGATGTCGCCAGGTCAGATATAAATTAGGTAAATAGGTAGGACTCTGCTAGATTTTGCCACCGACTTCCCCCACGTTCACAGGATAAAGGCTAGCCCATGTGTGATTACAAACTTATAATGTACCTCTGCGCTATACCCCAAGTAACTTCTACAGCAAACTCTAAATCAAATGCGTAGCCTAGCTATTTTGTAACTACATCTGAAAACTACATAGATTTTAAGTTCAAGCGCATAATATTATGACGAGTTGTAAAACGAGGCGTGTATTTCGACTAATGTGTAGACTGTAGTTTGTAAACTATTTCCGTGCGCATGTAGTTGAGTTCAGTTTCCGTGCGTATAAGATCATATGACATCATCGCTTACCACCAGGCGAGATAGTGAACAAATATCAGTCCAGACTAATATAAAACGGGCTATGAACGACGCGCTACGGACGACGCGCTACGAACGACGCGCTTCGAACGACGCGCTACGAACGACACGCTACGAACTACGATTGTAGTATTTCGCCGGAACGTAATTGTAAAATGATGGCTGATACATTAAGGACTGGGCACGTAGCATTAAACGTTGACTTTACATACCTAACGCCCGAATACTGAAAGGCTACTAAAATTTAAGTTGTACTTATACATATACCGTACCATCTTTGTCATTTTACAGAGAATTTATAGTGGATAGATCTATACTTAAGCGCGGCTTAGAATTGAGTAGCATTTGAGTATTTGGACATAAGATTATTTTTACTACTTAAGGGATTTAGATGATCATTAGTGAGTGGTTTAATAACGAAATCGGGGTATTTTAGATATTGATCGATAAAGTCTAATTAATGTATAAAAGTTATACAATTGAAACTTTATAGGTAAATCTATCGACATATACTAATGAACATGCCTTTTTTCTTAGAGATGAGAATTATGGCACTCCAAAAGAAAGAGAGGTAACAAAGTTTCGGTCTATCTTCATCTCTCTCAAAATAGTAACGTAGTTAAGACGTTATGCGCGAGAAAGAGATAGCGCTAGACCGAAAGTATAGGCCATCTCTCTCACTCTTTTCAAACCAAAAAATTACGGCAGATTATACGCGTACTGCATGTCAATTAGTATAATTGTCGATGGGTAAATCGATATGCTTTCGATTTTAAAAACAAGCATTTCTATAAACCATCTAGACATTATAAGTACCTAGTTTCTAATTTCAACAAATATCATAAATAAGAAAGAAAGACAAACACTTTCGCAATCTTATTACCAGGATATCAAAAAAATGACAAAGGTAAATCATAACAATACTCACAGAAAATCCCTGTAATGCGTCTGCTTCCAAATGTAGATCCACTGGTATCTATCTCCAGTTAAAAAATACGTGCCCAATAGGGCTACAGCGCCCATTACAGTTGGGCAACCGCGCGTTAACCATCCCAATGCCGCACATGACACTGCTATTGATGTCAGAATAACCCCCTTCTTCTTCTCCGCCTCTTCAAAACGTACGCCTGTCTTTTCTGTCATCCTGGTACATTCATTTGTCGTTGTGCATAGTTGTTAGGCTGGAATAAAAACAACTGTTAGACAATTATATACTGACAACCCGATAGAAATATAAAATTAAAAAAATTAATTAAACTGTCAAACACCAAGCGGTAAGTAAAAGCATACCTATGTATGCTTAGATCTGACAGACAAACGCGGATAGCGACTTTGTTTTATACTATGTAGTGACAATGAACACAAAAAAAATTGACATTAACATTGTAATCATAAGAAAAACAACAGTTATCAAGAGCTAACTTATCATATAATTAGCTAGCGTCTGTAGTAATTACTTTTGTGTTTATTAAAAAGAGGAATTTGCAATATCCCGATATCGCTTCAGTACTCAATTGACAAGTGATAATATATGATATTGTAAAAATGTATATTATTATTTGCAACTATCTTATCAGTTATCACACGAGATCCCACTTTCATATGATAACGACCCCATACTATCTACTAATATATTGTTACCTCTGTTTTAAATAACAAGGTTTGCTTTTTAGACTTTTTAGGGGGGGGGGGGGGGGGGGTCCAATGTCTTCTCCCGCCTCAGATGAGGAATAGGGAGTGCAGACTGGCACTCCAACTCCACTTAAAAGTCCTAAAATATTCGCACTTTACAGCTTGGCAAAAAAATCTAATTGTTAATTGAGTCAATACGGCTTTCATAGACCCTATCGTGGCTTGAAACTAGACGAGGAACGTCCTCGAACATTTAGATGAATAGGTTTGTATCCTATGATGGGGTTGACGTTTTTCTCTTAGGTAAAAAACCCTACTTATAAAATAAACATTAAAATAAATGCCTATTGTCTATTATAAAAGTTCAAAAAAACTATTTAATCTTCGATTTCCTGAGACTAACGCTTTTACAATCTTTAGTTTATTTATCAGCAAGTTAATACGAGGAAAGAATTAAGATATCAGCGTTCGGAGAGTGCAAAAACCTTTGAATACATTTATTGATAATTCACGGTCATTATGTTGTGATAAGTGGCAAATTCGAAAACAAATTACAATCCTGTCCTTACTTACATTTTTAACTTATAATACTAATTTTTTTCTTGTTTTTTTTTTATGGGTTAAACCGGTAAACGTGCAGACGGATCACCTGATGGTAAGCAGGGACATTTTTTTTTTTTTTGAGGGGGGAAGATCATCCAATGACTTCTCCCGCCTGGGTGAGGCGGGAGGGGGGAGAACTAAGGAGCTAGCATGACTGCTTCGCAGAAGGAGGAGACGGCATCCCAGTCCCCCTCGCTCCGTACCATGATCTGAACCAAATCCGGACGCGAGAGGTCGCCGTCGCCGATCACATTCCTGAGGACACGGCGGTGCTCAGTCCACGCAGGACACACCGCCGCCGTATGCTCCACCGTGTCCTCCGGGAAGCAGGGACACCTAGAACGCCAAAAGTGACCGGCCCACTGCCATTTCAGCCTTCCAATCCTTTGGACTACGTCGGCAACTTTAGTTCTCTGTCAGATCACCTCGTTACGGATCCTATCCTTCAGAGAGACTCCGAGCATAGCCCCGAATCCATTTGTCGAAGAACCGAGACCGTAGACGTGTTCTGAAGTGGAGACTGCGTTTAGGCAGACGTAGTGTAGGGCGCCCTCCAGCTAGGTGGAGTGACGATATCCGCAAAGTGGCTGGTAATGGGAAAAGCTGAAGATGGAGCTCTGTGGCGTGCCATTGGAGAGGCTTATGTCCAGTAGTGGACGAGAACAAGCTGTTAATGATGATATACAAGAATTGCTCGTTTAAAGGTATTAGATATTTATAGGTCATCTCATCTCAAATGACTTCTTAAATAAAGACCTTATGCTCTAAATTTTAAAGTACTTTTTCATTAAAAGTGTAGTGTTGCAATAATATTCGAGTTCGAGGCTGGTCAGTAAGTACTTAGTGACAGTATTTTATATAGGCACAGCATGCACCTTGTGCCTCAATTAGCATTGCACTGCGTATTCGATTCGGTGAAGGTTATTATACGTTTTGTCAACATAAGTGATTAAGAGATTATTAGTCGTTTACTAAAACATTTGTTTACGATGATAGAAAAATATTTTGACATTACAGAAGACGTTTTCGATATCTTTGACATGAATTTGTCCATTTTTTTATATGTGACTAGCGGACCCAACAGACGTTGTCCTGCATATCCACTTGAATGTATAAACAAAAATTCATTCAAATTAGTTCAGCTGTTTAGAATAGATAACCTAAACATCGACTGCAGTGCCATCTGCCGGGCTGATTTGTGAATCTAAACCATTCCCAGATCTCCTTGAACACACACAAAAAATTTCATCAAAATCGGTCCAGTCGTTTGAGAGAAGTTCAGTGACATACACACTCACAGAAGAATTATATATATAAAGATGGGCAGACGTTTGTCCACTATCTCGTCCGGTGGTAAGCGATGATGCGGTCTACAATGAAGTATGTCTACCCATAAACAACCTATTCACTCGGGCCTCGAAGACACCTAGGTTATACCCTTCAGAGAACACAGACTCTGGCAAAGAATTTCATTCCTTAGCAGTACGCACAAGGAAGCTTGAAATGAAGCGCTCCGTGAAGCGGTGGCGGTTTGCCGATTGTCTTGTGGTACGATGTTGAAGGACTTAGGGGTAATCAAGTTGGAGATTCACTTTTCGGACAAAATCACTATTGGGTGCAATGCTGCTTAAATTCTGATTAATAACTCTAAGTATAAAACAATGAGTTATGTTTAACAGTAAGTTCTCTTTTCATTACATGGAGTTAGATCGACTAGACCATGAAACTATAAAGATAAAAATATGCAAGTAAGTGCATACTTAATAATGGTAACTTGTTCCTTCCTTCATGATACAATAAACATTCCTTCAATTTGTTTACAGTAACCTGTTAAAGACTTATTTTAAACAAATAAGACAAGATAACTAGCTTACCATTATAACCTTGCATAACGAATAGAAATGATCGAATTTATGTACTTATTAAAGAAGGGCCAAATTAAAACGGAGGCCCAATTACCCTCTCCTTTCCCAATCTCCCCAATTCCTAAATGCCCAACGATTCTCAAAGTCCTAATCCCCAAAAGGCCGGTAACGCACTTGTAACGCCTCTGGTGTTCCAGGTTTCCATGGGCGACGCCGATTGCTTACTATCAGGTGATCCGTCTGCTCGTTGACCGGCTTATGTCATAAAAAAAATTACCCTTAACCGATGAGGATGTACGAAAAGACTGATAACTGTTGAGGAAGCAAAAGAAGTACATAATGTAAGAATCGTAAGCTATTGGTAGTCCATAGTCTCTGCCTACCCCCATGGGTGTCAGGCGTGAGTTTGGTTATATATGTATGTGTCGCAGTAAGAGAGATAAAGTCGTAATATTGTTATATCCTTAGGAATATAATTATATACTGTGACACAGTTTCTCGAAAGCGATTCATTACTATCTCACTAGGAATCCTTACCATTATAAATGGGAAAGTGAGTTTGTTTGTTTGTTCCGCTTTCACGCCGTAACTTCTAAACCGATTGCTTTGAATTTTTGCAGACGTAAAGTTAGAAGTCCGGATTAAATAGTAGGGTACTTTTTATCCCGGAAAATTTTGATATTTCCGAGGAAAAACAAAAACATTGGTATAGATGGCGCTGTGTGTATTGGTATAGATGGCGCTGTATGTCATTTAAAACCAGTCAACGAATTACCTACTTATTAGATAAATCTAAATAGCGCGATATAACCGAATTCCATGCGAGCGGAAAGCTATTTGTTTGTTTGCCTGTCTTAAACGACAGAACGGAGGTACTAATTAACGTGATTTTTTAACTGAAGGTAGTTGAAGGGATGTATAGTCATATAGGCTACTTTTTATCCTTTTGTGACGCGAGCGAAGCCGCGGGTAAAAGCTAGTATAGTCATAAAACGGCCCAAGTAAATGGCCTCCAGTAACAGGATCGAACGACACGTACGTAGAGTTGCACTTTGAACACATATCCTGCTCATCAAAAAGTGATGACGTAAAAGGAAGCCGAAGAATACGGGTCCGAGTGAACCGTTTAACTGTACCGACTGCTGACCGTCGTCGTCAAAGTAAATCGGTCCTTAGTGCTCGGGAAATTGCCATTTATCTTATAGTACACGTCGATCTTTACAAAACCAGTATAAACTGACCGTTGAACGTGCCGAAAGTTCATACTAAACGAGACCATGCTAAGTAGTATTTCTAGTAACTTAATATAAGCCGATCTTTTATCATCGGCTGAGTTACCCTTTTAAATAAGTACAAAGTTTATGTTAGAACTTTCGTGAGATATACTAAATTAATGATTATGTTTTTCGGCTTAGGTACTCAAGTACTTATTTGACGAGGACCTCAACTCATTTCAAGCCATGTAGAGGCTCATATAAAGAACAGTAGCAGCGGCAGCTAGCGGAATGCTGCTCATTTATCTAGCATGGCTTGAAACTAATCGATTTCTTCGTCAAATAATTACGTAAGTAAGCCGAAAAACATAATCATTAAGTACAAAGTTTTGTTCACATTTATGTAAAAAAAAGAGTTATCAAACTTGTCGCGAATATTTATAACAATGTCACGAATTAATGTCACTGTTACGTGTTATTAAAATATTTAATGTAAATTTTAATAATGTATGTGGGAATTAATGTAAGTACTTATGTATAATATACCTTCATACATATATGTTTCTTAGTTTCTTTTCATAATTTTACTTTTTAATTAAAAACGTAACAACATAGAATAAAAATCCAAATAAATCATAATTCATACACAAATATTTTATTATTAACGTTATTATATATATTATATATAATATGTAATATTTACGTTATTATAAAGACCTACATTCACACTAAAACAACACGAACTCAATCGATTTACTAACGACATTAATATTTAAAACTAATATTTGACACATTAAAACTAAAATAGTTATCAACATATATCCCAAAA